TTTCTTGAAAAAAGTAAATTACAAAAAAATGCTATTGTGGGTTATCCATAAGTGATAAACATATACCACCGCGGAGTTCTAATGAAATTTGAACTTATGGCCAACAACTTGGTAGGGTCATTTTTTATTATTTTTATTAATTTCGCATTCACAACGCCATACTTTAATATATTATTATGAAAAAGTGTTTAAAAATCCACCGTCCGAGGTAGGACCTCAGAGTGCCTTGGAACCGGTGGATTTTTTAAGCACTTTTTCATAATAATATAAGGTCAATTTTTATTTATAGTGTCCATGATTTTGCCTGTCTGTAACTCGTGTTTAAGTCATTATTCGCACTAATAGAAACATTATAATGACGACCTATTTGGTACAGTGGTCGTGACAGCCGCCTCTGAATCAAGGGTTGCGGGTTCCAATCCCGCATTCATTTCGGTACACACATTTGTGTGCGTGATCATGTCTGGGTATTTACTATGTATAATAAGTATGTAATATGTATATACAAAAAAGTATATAAGTAATGTTTATCGCTTGTCTAGTATTCAGAGTACAAGTTCTGCTTACTTTGGGACTAGCGGTATAAAAAAATAAACTACGATGACGATTGTCGTTCTTATGCTCAGCTTCTGAGGGCGAAGGAAAAACTTGTGCCTATAAATTATTAGATATTTTATTCACTAGAGATTTCCTTTGCAACTGTTCATGGGCAGGTGGAAGTAGAAGAGATAGGTCGAAAATTGGTCTTAAAGATTACAAGAATGTTTTAAAATTCTTTCATGGTATGATCTATACTTGGGATCCAACATATACTGTACAAGACAATGAAACATTTTTCAAAATTATTACTAACAATTCGGGGCAACGGAAATGTATGAAAAAGAAATACTAGAAACAACAACAAGGTCCACGCGTTAAAACATCTTCTCGTAGTTCAGAAAATAAAGATTTTAATTCGATGGCAAAAAATTTGGTAAGTAGCATATATTTATTGAAAATATATCTGTTTACATAGTACAATTTTACTAACAACCGCCCGCGGACACTTTGCGGAACTTCGCCGTTGACCCACGACCCATCACCAGAAGCCTTGCGTTGACGACGACTATTTCTACGCTGACGGAACAGAACTTCACCGCTGACCCACGCCACTCTTACTCTCACTACTTCGCTACTCACCTCACCAGTCACCTTGTCCCTTTTTTTATTAATTGTAAATAAATTATTTAATTTAATTTGCCATCTTTTAGTTTATTCTTGTTTCTTAATACGCCAAACAAAAAATCAACACGACAATTGTGGGGATCACCCGAATAATATTGAGAATAAAGAAGATGAAGAACCACTTTGTTAGACTGGGATTTTTATTTAGTTATGCACAATATGTTGTAAGTTTTTAGATACTTTTATTTTTTTGTTAATTGTTAAGTGTGGACGAGAGATATAAAAGAACCGTTTGTTTCACTTATGCATTTTTTTTATTGATGTTTTGATTAATATTAAATAAAAGATTACTTTTAGACGACTATGGGGAGCATCCGAAATAATTATATTAAGATAAGATGATTTTTTAGGAGTTTGGAAAACATCAGACAAATTACACAGGTCTGCGATGAAAAAGCTTTTTTTGAGAATTTTAAAGATAACTTGTACAATTTGATTTACATAATGCAAATCGCCACGCCCTATCATTAATGTGGGATCTGCGTTTTAACGATTTTTGTTTTTTTGTATAAAACCTCATAAAAGGGTGTAAGGAATAATATCACAAAAAAATAATTGTTGATTTTATTATAATTACGAAGATAATTACGTTATTAATGCCGGTTGTGTCACTTGTGTACGTACAAAAATGAAGGTACTCACTTACAGTCAATTTTGATCGGACATAACAAACGTGTGGATGTGTCGATCTTGCGTCGATCTGCCAGTTACCTACATAGTTAATGTCGGGAAAAATGCACGTAGGTTCTTTGGAGCGCCAAATTGTTGTGAAACATTACATACACTCTGATTTCAAAATATATAATGTCGGTCGACCGGAAAGAAGCAGATCGTCAAGGATTTTATTTTATCAAAAAACGCAGTTGTTGAAAATGGTGCATGTAATGATACAGGTAATATTACAAAGTTATTAACTTTATATAAAGACTTGCCACTCATATTTTATTAATAAAATAGATTTCAAATTTATAATTTTGTATAGCAAATTATTTCCATTTTTTTGGTATAAGAAACAACGTATCTAGAAAAATTAACAAAATATACTTAGTTTTCCGATCAAAAACTTCATACCTACCATATCCGACTTATTTTACAGAATTTAATCTAGTCAAAAATGTTAAATGTGCCACATCCGACACGTGGTATAGAATTTTATACAACAAAAAAAGTTGGATCTACCACATCCTGCGTAAGATAGTAAAATATGTCCGTGTAAAATAGCTTCACGTGACATTGTAACGTATATAAAGTAAAATAAATTAATCTATTAATATTGTTCTATGTATCGTAGAATAAAAAACACCCATGCCTAATTTCATAATCCTAACCCTTAAAATATCGTTTTTATTCAACTTTTCATCTTTAAACCGCTCTCCTGTAAAGTTGCATATTTGTAGATACTACATTAATGATAGGGCGTGGCGAAATATAAACTTTCTTTTATTGTAACACGTCACATTTTTTTTATCGGCTGTAACGTTGCAAAATATTGCAGTTACAAAATATCGATTAGTATCAATAAAAGATTATTGATAGGCCAAATGGCAGGTTCCAGTACCATTAAATTGAGTCCTTGATAGAGGACGAAGAATGACGTTGAGGTTGCTTTTTGAAGGAACGAATCTAAAGAAATAGATCGTCTTTTCCTTTTTTTTTTCAAATTTCAAATAAAGAACAGTAAATTTATATCTGGATGAATCCTGATATTTAAATTAATAACATGGTAAGTAGATTATTCCATTCTAGGAATCTTCATGCGATGGTCAAGTAATTACTTGTATTCTCGCAATCACATTTTCCTTATGATCTTACAGGTTGGGTGGGTTGGCGGAGAAGTTTTTTAACATCTTTAAATAAAAAAGCCGATGCTATTTTATTGGCACTCCACCGTAAGTACAATTTTTAAATAAAACGATTTGTGAGTTTTGTAGTTATGAGAAACATATGGTAATCCATGACATTTCGTTTCAGATGGGAATTTATTAGAATTTATAGAATCCAAAAAGATTTTAGTTTAATTATATATTCATAATGAATATATAAAATGATGGATGGAAATATCATGTGGCAGAGTACAAGAAGATATTTTCAGCTTTTACATTTCATTTTATAGATGGTAGATCTATAAAAAGACGTTTCAAATTTATATATACTGATAACAGCGAGATTGATTCCATGATCACCTTAGAGAAGCAGGTGAAGAGGACGTAGCCGTTGGGTCAGGTTACAAGTAATTGTTGAGTTTATTTCTCTGCCTTAATGAGAAGACAAGGTTAGTGAAACAAGTCTTTTATTTTTGTGCTGGTTGGCAGACGCTCGGACATATTTGTGTTTGTTAATGTTTCCCTCCAGGTCACTGTCATCCAACGGCACGAGCCAAGGTTGTTTTTTTTTTATTATTATTGTAGAACTTTGGTTAAATTTGATCAACATCGCGAACCAACAGAAAGCGACCCTCTTTTCAGACTTTAGGCCCATATACAGCGACAACATCGGATTCTGAGATTATGTAAAACGAATTTAATGAAGAAACGCAGCCTCTGAGGCGATATTTTAATAAAAACGATGTTTTCATCCTGGATAGGGGATTTAGGAATACAGTATCAGTATTGGAATCATGCAATTGAAGTGTCCATATGCCATTGACTTTAGAAGAGGGTGAAACTCAATAAACTATATTAGCAGTCAATAAAACACAGGCCGTCACAATTTGTCGATGGGTTGTTGAAGCAGTTAATGGTATTTATAAAGAACAATTTAAATTATTTCGCCAAGAGTTTTTTATAGAGCTTCAGCCCGCCTAATGATAGATTTTACAATAGCCGCTGCTATAGTAAATAAGTTCACACTCGATATACGGACAATGAAGGATTCCTCAAACAATCAAAACCTGGGAGTTGTGGGACAAAAGGTAATGAATTTGCTGATTGTGGTACCCAGGCAAAGAAATTATATTGTCTATTTTGACAATTACTACACATCCTTGCCATTGATGTGTATACTTGCTAAGCAAAGTATACATTCCCTAGGCACTATTCAAAGAAACCGACTGGGAAAAATTTGCAAGTTGCCAACTAAGCAGGATGTTACGATGAGTCTAATTCCAAGAGGGTATTTTTCAATTCCAATTTCAAGAGGACAAAATTTGAAGGCATTGACATGACAACAGTAAGTTGGAAGGACAATAAACAAGTTGTGTTAGCGTCGACATACGTTGGAGCATATCCCGTAGGGAAGGGGTGCGAAGTCTGGCAACCTCCTCGTGGTGCACCCTGGGCAACGTGGCCGCTCGAAGTATCTTTGAGCCGCCGCGGCTAATGTCAGACGACGTGAGGGCGACGGAGTTTACTCCGTCCACGCGCGAATACGCGCGAGTGTGGGCTGGACGGGCGCCCTGCGTATCGCGGGAAGCGGCCGTGCCAGCGAGTCGTTGTGAGGTCGAACGCGCTTAGGGGGTGGTAAAACCCTTCTGGGTCGCGTTTGGGGGTTTCCCTTTTTGAGGGAGTCTCGTGAGGATGGGTTCCGCGTCGGCGTCCTGACCTTATGTCGGGTAGCGGCGGCGCGGTCCGGGCTGGACGGGCGCCCTGCGTATCGTGGGAAGCGGCCGTGCCAGCGAGGCAACTCGTAACTCCACACATGGTGTGGAGTCGAGGGCTGCTGTTCGTTAGAACAGGATCTAAACTATGACAAAAGCATGATTGAATATTAATATATTGCAATGGATAGTTTGCATGCTGCATTTAAATGAACTGCCTCTGAGGCATTTGTTTGATTACATGGATGGTAAAACTTCTGGTCCATCTACAACAATGGTCCTATTGGTAAGTTGCTGGATAAGAGTGAAACGCGAGCTGTAATTGAATTTGAGTCAATACCAGGTCAATTACCAACGCTAAAACCGGAAAACTTAAGCACAGACCAAAAATATTTGTATGAAATCACATTAGCTGTAGTTACTGAAAGTTGTTCTGATGACTTAGCAAATAAATCACTTGGAAAAATGTCACATGCCCGTCAATTGCTATTGGGCAATAAGGCAAATCGGATCTTGCGTCTTTACATTTCTTCTCCAAAACCATCAACAAATTTAATTATTTTGGCTCAATATATTGTTAAAGTGTATGCCCCCGTGTGGTTCCAAATAAAGATACACTCATCGTGTAAAGACGCATCACGACACCTTTGGAAATTGATTGAAAGTTCGCGATTCTTATCATGTGCATTAAAATCAATCATAGATCCTGTTATTCAACGAAATGCATATTTTGCTCATCCTGAAAATTTGCTTTTGGCAATGTTAACAGACGAAGAAAAGCATATAAGAGAACTTGCAGCTAGAAGAATTCTAAAAGCGCGTAATTCACCTTCAATGGGAAAACTACCACGCACTTTTGAAGTGCCTAAACTTAATTTTGATGCTAAATAATAATAAATCCTTTATTTTCCATACTTTAAATCATGTTATATTGATTTAATAAACTGGCAAGAAACCAACTTTGATCCACCTATTCTAAGAAATCAAACGAATGATGAACTTATTCAAATTATAGATAAAAATGGTGACGAAAAGATGTTATTTATTAGGCTGCCTTGCCATACACAAGCAGTTGAACGAAGTGTAAAGATAGTAACAGAAGCTGCAATGTCGCCATGTGATAAAAAAAACAAGAGAGATGATTCATGCAAAACTAGCTTCAAGGAAAGTTATGCCAAAATTCGATAGTAAGTGGGATTCTTTGTATAAAAATAAATAACTTTTTATGTGTATTTGTCAATATATGTCTTTCTCTAAATATTTGTTATATTTTAATAGTATTTTAAGAAATTTCTATTTAAGAACTATGACATTTCGTGATACGTGTTTTTCTTGCAAAAACTTAAAATTTCGTTGCGCATGCGCGGGCTGAAGATGTATGTTTAATTATCAGTTTTTATGCTTAAATTACTTATAATAGTATACTACAACATAATATTACTATTAGGATTCGATTCACAAACTTTTATTTTTTTCCATACTAAAGTGACCCACCCTAGTGAGTAATATAATTAATAAAACTAGCAAATAATAAATTGAAACTGTAAAAATCAAGTACGCAATTTTTTTGTTGAATACCATAACTTATTTACTAGAGATAACTTTTACATAGTGAATGAATAGGTATCACTTCATAAATTTAAAGTAAGACTATGTAAAAGTAATAATCGAGATCTTTGTTTGGAAAGGGCGAAAATATTAATATTATATTAATTACGTTCATCTGATTTGATTGTATCTATTTGGTTCTTTTTCTAGCAGGTACCTAAGGTACCTAAGGAAGTGGTTGACACAATGAGTGACACAACTACTTCTGACGAAGCAGGCGAAGGAAGTAGTCATTCTGGTTACAGAACTCCTAAAAAGAAAATAAAGCGAGTATGTACTTTTCAAGAGGATTGTTTAAAAAGCTATTCATGGTTGAAACCTGCCAAAGAGAACATCAAAGCAAATTGTACTTTGTGCCAGAAAGAATTCAATATAAGCCATGGTGGGAAAAATGATATTAATCGACACCAAGATAGAATCGACCATAAGAAAAGGAAAGAAAGTGCTTGGAGTACAATTTCATTGAAACAGTTTTAAAAAAAATGACCAATTAACGAGCAATGAAGAAAAAGTGATGGCAGCCGAGATCACTAAAATATTCCATAGTATTATTCTATAGACTGTGAATCAAAACTTGATCGTGTTTTGTACGCAGACTCAAAAGTTGCAGAAAAATTGACCCTTGGCCGTACTAAATCCAGTGCGATCGCACATAATGTATTGGGACCAGCGTCGATCGAAGGTACAGTTAAATATCTACAAAGTCTTTTTTAGTGTTTCTACAGATGCTTCCAATCATGGACCAATCAAAATGTTTCCATTGGTTGTTAGATTTTACACACCGGACACCGACGTCAAAATTTGCGTGTTGGACTTTTATGAAGATGCGAACGAAACTGCTATTGCTATTCATGATAATATAGTGAAGAGATTGCAAACTTTCATTCAACATTGACTTAAAATATCTTACAAGCTATTCTGCTGACTTTATCACGTTGGGAGAAGATGAATGCTCAACAATTGTTTGGAATTATTTTAATGATGAACAGACAGAAGCGTATGTTGTTTTTTTCCAGAATACATTAAAAATAATACAAGATACTGTTTTGCCACTGGAAAGTGACAGACTATTGTGCTTTGAAGCATTTGACTTACTTACTGATCTCAAGAAAAAAATTAATCAAAGACTTGAAGATCAATTTTCAGGATTTACATGTAACAATATAATAAGAAAAATGCCTGCTGAAACTAGTTGCACCATCAAATCAAATTGCTTATTGTTTTATAAAAATTTCTTGCTATACATAGAGGCACGTTTCGATTTCTCAGAAAGTAACCCGATGAACGTTTTCCAACCGTTTGCTCTGAAAACTGATTTTGATTACAAAATAGCCATTGAAATTATAGAAAAACTAAACATTGACAGTAATATCGATATGGATGCTTTGTATGAAGAAATGTATAAAGTCAAAGAAATTTTAAAAGCCACTATTGAGAATAAGAGTTTAAAACCTACAGAAAAATGGCATATCATTTTCAAAAATCAAAACTTGCCTATGCCTAACCTTCTAAAATTATATCAATTTATGTCATCCATACCTGTTTCGAATGCAACGACTGAAAGAGTTTTCACTCAAGCAAACATAACATGGACTGATAAACGCCGAGGAGGATGGAAAAACAGCAGAAGGCCAAGTGAAAATCTATACAGACGGCAGCAAACTGGAGGGAAAAGTCGGTGCAGCCCTGACCTGTTGGAAAGGGGCTGCTGAGATCGCTTCCCGAAAGTTTAAGCTGGAGCCGTACTGTACAGTTTTCCAGGCCGAGTTGTACGCCATCCTCCAGGCGACGGAATGTATGATGAGTAAAGAATGGAAGGAGGTCAGCAGTGCTAAGCGATTCGAGATCCGCCCTACAGTTGCTATAAGATCCAGACTCCTCGCATCCGATCACGAAGGCGATTCAAGGCAACCTGGTCCAACTTAGGGAACTTGGCCGCAAGGTCTCCCTATTTTGGATCAGGGCCCACATCGGCGTGGTCGGAAACGAGAGAGCGGACGAGCTGGCGAAGGGGGCGGCTCTCGGATTGAAATGTAAACGCATTATGACGGGTGTCCCATCTCTTTTGTCAAAAGGCACTTACGCAATTTGACAAAAGTAGAATGTGACAACCGGTATAAGAGCGAAAGCACTGCTGCCACGACGAAGGTCTTTTTCCCAAGTGGGGAAAAGACCTACGGCGTCGTAAGAAAGATGAAGAATGATAGATGGGCTGCACAACTGCTAACGGGGCATGGAGGGTTTAGGTCCTACCTCCATGATTTTAAATGCAAGGATACCCCATACTGCGAATGCGACCCCCAAACGAAACAGGATGTTTTTCATGTCATTTTGGAATGCCCCATCTACGTAAACATTAGGCACGCTCTACAAAATAGCATTGAAACAAAACTTAGCAAATCAAATCTAGGACTAATAATGGTAAACAAAGATGAGAGAGATGTATTTGTTAAGTATGCGTGTGAAATGATCAAAAATGTTAATGTTAGAAATAAAGATTAAGATATGGATAAGGATAAAGATAACTGTGATATTAGTATGTAAGTAAAATAATCTGTCACTGTAAATAATGTAAATAAGTATTAACAAAATAAGAATGTAAACAAACTAGAAATAATAAACATAGATATATATAAATGATGTAAAATAAATATAAGTAAATAATAATAAGACAAATTGTAAAAAGAATAAAAATGAACCATGTATTGGTAATAAGAAAAGTATTCAAAAGAGGGAAAAAGAGCGATCCCCAAACAGGCTAAACAACGTGTATAAAGAAAAAAAGAAAAAAGCAAAACAAACCAAAAAAGATAAAACAAATAGTGGGGGAAACCTGCCATAAAAAAAAAATAGAAAAAAAAAAAACATGGACTGATAGACGTGATAGATTATCAATAGAACATGTGAAGGCGGAGATTCAAATAAAAGTAAATTATCAGTTGTCTTGTGAAGAGTTTTATAGACTTGTTTTAAAAGAAAAGAAAATGTTAAAAGCGGCACAGTCACACTATACACATTGAAGGAAATGATTATGTAACAATATTTTTAATGATTTTATTTCTTTTCAGCTCCGATCAACAGACAGAATTTGTCACCCTTGTTGGCAAAGGTGTAATAGTTTAGCTGTACATTTACTGCCCTCTCTACGTCATCCGCAAGTTCTGGACCAAGTGTTCCAGATACATCTCAAGAATTTAAAATTCACGAGCACTCTAATGGTGATGCAATTTTATCAGTCTCGAATTCCGGTGAAAATACTCCAAGTGTACCTACAATATTTTTGTCAAACTCAGGAGAGCTGGAGACACAATCTCACTGTTTTTTCCCTGCAAGCACTCCACTGAAAGACTTCTGGTACCACTATCAATTAGAATAAGCCTTTTTGCCGATTTTAGATCATTTTAAAGAAACAATTTATGATAAGAACTTAATGAAGTTGAAAATGTTAATCATTCATTTACAGAAGATTATACATATGATTTCACATCATAATTGCAACAAGAGCGATCTGTTGATTTCGAAATATCCCCATGATGGATGACCCTATAGTCTACTATTGGTTCGCCTTAACGAAAGAGGAATTTCATATGTTGTTGGAAGAAATACCCAGATTGTCCTCAATGCATAAAGGATCAACTGCATTAGCTGCACTATTGCTAAAATTGAGAAACGGAGACTAAAATAGGCGTATTGCTTCGTTATTTAAAATGCCCCGAAGTACTTTAGAGAACCTAACGTCCAAGGCAAAAGCAATTATACATAAAGATTTTGTGCCTAATCATTTAGGCTTAACACATATTACTAGAGAAGAAGTTTCTAATCGGAACCTTTAGATACCTTCTAGTCTATTTGGGGGTACAAATGCAAAAGGCGAAACGATTACAATTATCATTGTGGATGGTAACTGTATATGTTGCTAGAAAAGCCATTTTTATTTGTTCGTTATGATGGCTACATTATCGAGATTTTAGGCCCATACACAGCGACGACATCGGATGCTGAGATTATGTAAAACGAATTTAATGAAGAAACGGAGCCACTGAGGCGATATTTTAATAAAAACGATGTTTTCATTCTGGATAGGGGATTTAGGGATACAGTATCAGTATTGGAATCATGCAATTGAAGTGTCCATATGCCATTGACTTTAGAAGAGAGTGAAACTCAATCAACTATATTAGCAGTCAATAAAACACAGGCCGTCACAATTTGTCGATGGGTTGTTGAAGCAGTTAATGGTATTTATAAAGAACAATTTAAATTATTTCGCCAAGAGTTTTTTATAGAGCTTCAGCCCGCCTAATGATAGATTTTACAATAGCTGCTGCAATAATAAATAAGTTTCACACTCGATATACGGACAATGAAGGATTCCTCAAACAATCAAAACCTAGGAGTTGTGGGACAAAAGCTAATGAATTTGCTGATTGTGGTACCCAGGCAAAGAAATTATATTGTCTATTTTGACAATTACTACACATCCTTGCCATTGATGTGTATACTTGCTAAGCAAAGTATACATTCCCTAGGCACTATTCAAAGAAACCGACTGGGAAAAATTTGCAAGTTGGCAACTATTGAAGAGTTCAATTCCAAGAGGGTCTAATGAAGAGTATATTACAAATTTTGAAGGCATTGACATGACAACAGTAAGTTGGAAGGACAATAAACAAGTTGTGTTAGAGTCGACATTCGTTTGGAGCATGTCCCGTAGGGAATATCGAACGATTCGATAAAAAAGAAAAAAAAATCTTATCACGTGCCCAAAGCTAATCAGGGAATATAAAATGCACATGGATGGTGTAGACCTCACGAAATCCAAATATTGTTTCACCGATTTTCACAATTCTTCAACTTTGTAAAAATCATGATTATTTTGTAAAGTTAATGCATACTGTATCAAAAACAATACAAAAATATTTTTATAAAAAAATAAATGTTCCCACTCATATAGATTTTTTATTTTCTTTTCTTCAGTAAAAATCTTTTATCATGCATTTAAGGATTAAAACGCTACTAATAGCTTATCACGGATATGTTGCTTCAAATTTAAAATATGGCATAATGTTCTGGGCTAACTACTGATAAACAATGCATAGTCAAAGCCCAAAAGAGATGTCTAAGATCCATGATCGGAGTAATGTAGGATGACTCGTGTAAACCATACTTTCGCAAGCATAAAATTCTTACACTGTGCCATCTATGTAGTACATACATCTATGAAATTACAAGTTTTGTTAGAAGCAACCCACACTATTTTGATATATCTCTAAATCCTATTCGAATACGTCGAAAAGGCACTCTGAAGGTTACTCATGAATGTAGAAAACTTCTCAATAAAATTTGTGTAAACTGTATGGCACCAACAACATTGATAAATTTCCACTGTCTATTAGATCGATAAACGATGTAAAATTCTCCTCAATGACTTTCTTGCTGTAAAAGCTTATTATGATATTGGCATATTTTAAATGATA